AGTGCATTGTATTATCAAGTTGACAAAGTTGAGGATTGTGGATTAAAATTAAGTTGAGTTTGAATTTGCCTACTTGGTCCGGTTGAAGATGAACCAGATAGCTGCATTATTTGGGGGTACTTCTTCTCCAAATGTCGTCGTATTGTCAAAGTCCCCTTCTCAGCGCCGATAACGGTTCCACAGAAATTACATACCTCACATGATTCTTCCCCCTCCCCATTTGCCTTTGCCATTTTGATTTGGTGAAGTGTCGTCATACATCGGACATGACTCTCTTTGACTGTCGGGGGGGTTAGGCCGTGGAGTCGCAGCTTGCTTGAGTTTGGCTGCACCTCACCCCGGCTGAATGTCGTTGTTGTTGTTGAATTGCAGCTGCTGTTTCTAGAAATGGTGAAAATGGATCGAACCCTTCAATTTCTTCGGTTGATGGAACGTGGAACTCATTTGGCCATTCCATTATGAATTTATGATAAAATAATAAATAATTAAAATTAAAAAAATTAAATAATAATACGAATAAGAGATGATATTGAAAAATAGAAAAAATTGAATAATATAAAATATAAATAAATAATAAGAATTAATTATAATTATAAATATAAATTGAATTGAAGAAAATATGAATAAGAATTGGATTGGAGTAGAGAGATTTAGAGAATGAGAGATTGAGAGCTGGTGTGAAAAAAATTGGAAGTGTGAGGGATTATTTATAGTGTAGGATTGGGGGGAAAATAAAAAATAAAAAAAATTCCCCCACAAGCACATGACCGTTGGCAACGGTCATGTGTTGTTTATTTGTATTTTTTATTTTTTTTGTAAAATATAATTTAACCCTTAATATTTTTGTCAATTTCAAAATTATCAGGGGGTTTTTAGATATTTTACAAATGATTGTTTCAAAATTTTTTAAATAGGTTTGGGCCCAGGCCTGGGCCTTGGAGGAGGGCCCGATCAAGGGATTAGTCCCTCCTCCCATAGGCCTGGTCCGGTTTGGGACTAGGTCTTCCTAGGACCAGTCCTTTCGGTCGGGTTTTTGGGACCAGTCCCAAATGCCCAAGCTACTTTCGCCCATGCTTAGCCACTTGCTTTCCTTTATCTTTATGCACTGTAGTGCGTGTGGTATTAGCTTTTGCTCGTTTCCACGTTTTAGCACAACCTACAAGCATTTTTTGAGGTGGTACCGCCTTGTCAGAGTTTGGCAGCACGACCTAATCCAAACGATCTAGCCTTTGGCTCATCGTTTGGAAGGTGTTGTTGAACCTTTCCAGGTAATCCATTACAGTCGAATTTAGCTAATAAGTCGGGGGGTTGCCTATCGTAGTACTTTCGGGAGGCGAAGTTACTTCGGGAGGAGTAATCTCCTGAACGCGATGGGTCTCCTCGTTGTTGATGCTAGCACGCTTGGTTTCAAGACCTCGAGCCATGAGTTTGCTAGTAGAACTAATAGATCAATTGAAGTTACCAGATGAAGAGCTGATGTGAAATCTCGCCTTTCTTCTGGCGCCAAACTGTTGATGCTTGATTTTGATACCAACGACCTCACACGTGCAAAATGCTAAGCGGATCTTAAAAGTTACGTGTGATTAATTTGAGAGTTAGGAAAAGGTTATAGTAGTATGCAAAGACTTAATAATAAATGAGACAATGAGAATTTTATAATGGTTCGGATGCTTAAAGCGATTCCAACATCCACTGTTTTCTTTTTATATAAGTGTTCTTGGTTACAACCAAGTTACAAGAGATCGCGAACAGTGAACAGAATTGTAAGTAATTGATCTACCATACGCAACGGAAACCAAAAATTCAATCGGTAAATCAATTACCTTTCTTTGCCAAGATCCGAGTATAGATTATACCGTTTACATGTTTATAAACAAAATCTATATAAAGTAAATCCATTCAAGGATTAGAATACTTACGTACATTTAGAGGCTCCCTCGAATATCTCTGATTTCAGACATGAACACTGTTCACAGTTACTGTTCACGTGATTTTTCTCCAATCGATCCAAAGTAGGATCGCACTCATGGAAGTCCACACGAAGATAATCCACAGAATCCTTGATTATTTTGCTAGAACAATCAAGGGCTTCAAGAATCAAGAAAGAAGAACAAGAGAGGTTTTCTTCTTGAGAGGGAGAGAGAGAGATAGGGTGGCTAGGGTTTTAATTAAATGAATAATTCTAATGTTTTAATTTTAAGTTACACTTATATAGTGCAACAATTAAAACCCTATTCCACTTAGGAATAGCCATGGGCTTCAACCCTAGTTCACCCTTACAACCAAACACACCCTTTATGGTATTTTAATTAATTAATTATTATTATAATTAAAATCAATTAATAAATAATAATATATTAACATTTAATTAATAATAATAATTCATTTAAATATATACAGAGATATATATTTAAATATAATTTCACTAATTTAATTTTAATATTAAAATTAAATACAGGCAGTAACCTCAGCAAATTTAATTACACTGTGAGATTACCAAAATACCATTTCGTCATAAAAGACGAAAATACATTTTTCATAAATTGATTCTTAAATTATCTTCTAAGTGTGTAACCCGTAAGCTCCTTATCATATCAGTAGTGAGTAGTATCGCGATTAACACCAATTAATCGTCTTATTACACATAGACTAAGATTGGCCCCTAGCAAGGCATCATGGCCACCTGATAGATTCAGATTCAGCGAACCCGCAACCTGTCAACGATATGGTTACCGTGCAATCGAATCCTTTCATCAACTATTATCTCATCGAGACTAAGGTACAGAAATAGTGTCAACCTTAGATAACCTCGACATGTTTGTATTCAGTTACTGGACCAATGATAGGAATATTAAATTGGATTGAACATCAACTCAATCCCACTATGGCCACATATTTAGTGTCATTTCCATTTACTAAATTACCCAGTGAGATAACTTCTCCCGTACCCAGGAGTGATGAATCCTTTGTCGATCCACCATAATCTCGATACACTTCTCAATGTAGCCAATCACTATCGTATTGATAGCTCTAAATAGAACTACATTGGGCTAGTGTCAAACTACACCAATTGGTACATAAGGTGCTCCGGTAATCTCAAGTCTAAGGATCACATGCACCACCATTTGTTAGAGGATTTATTCCATAGACACTAGGGTTACCATCCATATGGAATCCTCTGGTGGGTCTGTCCAGTGAACTTGCCTCTAGCAAACACACATGCGTTGCACCAAGTTGTCGGTAAACAACCTTGACAAGTGAGATCAGTCACTGTCTTTTGTCAGGGTCGTTCAATACTATGATAGTCTTACCGTATTATTGTGTCCTTGGTCAGAATAATACTGGGCTACGGACGTTTCTAGAATGGCCACCATATGTGATCATAGGGTTCTCACTATCAAGATTTGAAATACTTGATACCCTCGTCACGGTTCTACCATCCTAAGGACATGTATCAATACATATAATATGATTTACGTGATATAATAGAATATGCCTTTTATTGATAAATAAACATTTATTACAGAGTCAATTTTACAATAATTGATTGGCTCTAGGGCACCTACTCTAACAAGAATTACAAATGCTTAGTATTCAGAGAGAATATTAAGCCAATATCTTTACCCTAGGTTGTCTTTGTTATTTGTTTTTATGAAAATCAGAGATCCCGATTTTATGAGGAGGAGTCCTCTATTTATAGTCATTGAGTTCAAGGTAATGATTACAAGTCTGCAGGTGGGTAGGTGTCGTGCAAGTCCTTCCTTGCGTCCCATTGGCTGATAACTTATGAAATATCATTAAATTATATGGGGCTTGGACAGGTGTGCGGATCTCATTCATTCACAGACAAAACTTGAGCCCACTGAGTTGGTGAAAGCCGTATTCTCCCTATCTTTGGGCGACGTGACAGATCCTGGAAGGCGCAAAGTCTTCCTGAACTCTAATTGATGCTTACTGATATAAGCTTACGTCAGTCCTGATTTTTTAGGCATAACACACAACAATATAAAAAGAGATACGTACTATTGACAGAATGAAGCTTAAAAGTTAAGTGTAGAGTTGAAGAGGCTGCTGGAGTTGATAGAGTGACAGCAGCTTTTGTGATGTGAGAAGAAGATGAGACTGTAGATTGCGGTAGATTTGTAAAAATTGTGAATTCTAATCTTTTGGAATTAGGTTATATAATATATATATATATTTTTTTTTTTTTTTTTTTTTGGGTATACCCAAGACATTTGAAAAAAAAAAAAAAAGAGCCCGACGGTTACGGGTAAATGAAAACAGCCCTAAATGTGTGGTCTTACCCATTTTTATACGGGTATCCGCAACTATATACCCATTTTGCCAAGACTAAATCAATCTCTTAAGATTAAATAAAATAAATAAAATAGAAGAAATTTATTAGTTAAGATCAATGAGGAGAGGTATTAGATAATTCTCTAAATGTGGAGGAAGGTCTGGTTAATTTTTCACCTTGGGTGTGAGTGTCTAAAACTGAAATTAAGGGAGGTGTGGGATAATAGCCCTAATTTTAATGATGTTATTATGTACAGTATTTCGAAAATTTTTAATTTAATTTAAATCTCATATTAAGGATAATATTACCATAAAAATTATGTGCCATTGAAAAAAATAAATGAACTCTCAAAGCATTCGGTTCACGGTGGGGTGGAGGGCCGAAGGCGATTGAGTTAGCTGGGCCATTAGATCTAAATTTGGTATCAACACTTGATTCTCAAATGACATAGAAAACTGATATCTAAAACATTCTACAATCATTGAAAGATTGACTTCATTAATTTAATAATGATTCTAAAATAATACTATAATATAAAGTATTTTTAATTAATTCCAACACAGTTCCCATGACGTAAAATCAACATGTTAGTTAAGTAATTGAACCGGGTTTAATTAATATGAAAGCATATGGAAAAAGTCTAGAAAACCCATAGCAATATATATATATATATATATATATATATAAACTAAAATTTGAAGGCCTATTTCTCATCACTCTTTTTAGCGACTCTCCGTCTCTTTAGCTTTCTAGTGTTGGAAAAAGAAAAAAAAAATGTTCACAAATCAGAAAGTAAGACTTTCTTTTTCCCCTTTTCATCTTGAGCATTTGCGGTAGAATTTGGCCGCCTCACAAAACGCCCCTGTCACATTTAAAATTTTTAACAGATTAGTATTCATTCTAATAATTGAATTCACATTTTTTATTGAATCATCAATATGCTTTGTGAAACTATATATTATAATGGAATTGATTGATATACATTTTATAATAATAAACGTGCTTGTCCAATTATCCTACTTTATCAACTTGTAAGCAAAATTTTAGAATATTACCATTTTATTGCTAAATAATTAAAATTTTTGTACTAACAAGATGCAAATTATGTTTAGATTTTTTACTAATAAATAAAGTTTTTAAAACATTTATAATATTAAAAATGAGCAAACTAGGTTATCAAAGTTTTAAGGGTTAATTTGACTATAAATTTTGATTAAAGAACAAAAATCTTTTTAAAGTTTCTAAAATAATAAAAATATTTTATTATTAGTGAACAGAGAACAGTTAAGAATTACACTATTAAGAATTGATGAATATTTACGTAATTATCCTCTGATCATTTATTTTAACACCTATAGTCGAGAGATTTTTGTTTATTTCATCAACTCTAAGGAGAATCTTTATTATTTTATCAAACTATACTTTAAATATATAATTTATAAAATTTCATGTTAATTAGTAATAAGGGGATTGTTATGTTGCTACTGTAACGTAGTCAATAATACGGGTGAAAAATGTGATTTACCAATATCCAGATGCGATGATCTAATCTTCCCATTATCCTGTGAATTTTGTATGTCACCAAACTACCAAAAGAAAAAAGCCATGTAGTATAATTCCCACCAACAACTGATCACAACTCGCCACGTGTCTCTTCAAAATTTTACTACTCGTATTAGATGTATCACAAACAATCAACGTGCAACAAAGCAAGCAGCTTGATGATGCATGCAATTATTATTATACCTTCATTCTGGGCCGTCGATCAGCGTTGACTTTTCTGACTTGGTACCTGATCTTCTTAGAGAAAAGACGTGTACGCCGCTTTTCCTTGTAGCGCAACACGCTAGCCTCCCTCACACCGCTATCAGAGAATAAATCAATCTGTGCCAGCCTGGCCTGCCCCAAAATGGCAAAATTAGAAGAATGGAAATGATTCAGTAGCCTGCACCACATTGTAATTAAAGTACTATCATCTCATAAAATCAAAGTAATTCTGTCATTTTCCTACATTATGATAAATCTTTATCACGACATATGTGATTAAAAAAAAAACACATATTTTATAATACTACGACAGCGTTTGGCTGCAAAAGACAAAGAAGAAAAACAAGTTTCGGGTCATAAAAGAATATTTTAAGTAAAATGAACCGTTTAATTAGAGAATAATACTTTGGGTACTAACAGATGGGTACTAATCTGTGTACTAACTAAAGCATAGTACGGGTACTATACGCATAGTACGGGTACTATACTTTAGTTAGTACACAGATTAGTATCCATCCGTTAGTACCCATAGCAACACTCTTAATTAGAGGGGTATGTAGACTTGGGAAAACAAAGCAAAGCAAAAGTTGTAGAATAAAGTAATAGCTCAAAGGGTCCCCCATAAACAACAAAATAAAAGCTGAAAAGGTCAGCTCATACAGACATTTTCAAACTTTAAGAAAATAAAAAATATATATTCAGATTATTAAAAAAAAAGAAAAAAGTCAAAATTTATTTCACTTTTTCTCGTGACTATTGTGCATAAAGTGCACTTACTTTCATTGTGCCGTAATGAAGAAGAATAAATAGATAGGCTGGTAAAGTTGGATTTATAATCCAAAAATTAAAATAAAAAAGATATATAAATAAAAGGACTTAAAACTAATTATTTGTAAATGTTAAAAGTTTTAACAATGTTTAAAATTGCCGGCGGGAGATGAGAAACATACAGAGACATCATTTCCTTGAACATCGGAGCCCAAAGTTTCATCTAAAAACGGTGAACCACGGTCAGCCCAAGCGGTCACTACGTCGTCGTACTTCAATTTCAATAGTAATTCAGCTGAATTGGATTTCGGAATTGAATTCTCTTGAGGTGAATTCGATTTCAATTCCAAACTCTTGTACTCAACTGTAACTTTTTCACTCTCCTTTTCAGCCCTCTTCTTTTTCTTTTTCTCATTTGAAACCTTTTTGTTACTGTTACTGTTCTGGTGGTGGTTGTTGAATTTTGGAGAGATTTGAACAACATCAACTGTTGGAAAACTCCACCAATTTCCTTCATCAACATGTCTCAATGCGTTTACTCCTCTTCTCATTCCCATTCCGATTCCGAATTGCAGTTTCCCGCCAAATCCAAGCCCCATTGGATTAGCATACCAAGAATTGTTGATTTGATAATTATGCGAAGCAACATTAACATTAGAATCATCGTTGTTGACTCTCAAATTCCCCATAATGCTATCGATTCCCTCCTCGATTTCTTCATCAAGAATCGACTCGGCATCGAAATCTTCATGGAATTCACTGGATAACTCCATGGAATTGGAATTGGAATTCCCTTGGAAATCAACTTCACCATTACCATTACTCTGGCAAGGCTTGTCACAAGAACTTGAGACTTTTCGCTCAAATGGGAATCTGGGTTTATCTTGAATTGGTTGATGGAGCATAAAACCCGAGTGGTCAAAAACGCGAAAAGGCAACAACAATTCTGAGGATTCATTTAAGAAAGATTCGTGAAGGTTGGTGAATTTACTTGGATTCGTCAAGTGTTTTCTAGAGAAAATGTTGGGATAGGCCGTGGAGAGGAGGGCGGCGGCTTCGTTGTAAGTTTGTTTGGGGCGTTTTCGAGCGGTTCTTGGCTTTCTAGTGGAGATTGCTAGAGGGGAGTTGCTTGATTCTGAGAGGGTTGAAGATGGTGAAGAAGTGTGTGAAGTTCTTGTTGAAGAAGATGGAGATTTTATGATGTCTAAGTCTAATGCATAAGTTCTTCCGCCTCCACTTAAACATGAAGTCATTTTTGTAGATAGTACTAAAGGAATTTTATGTCAATTTAAGGTCTATTTCTAGATTTTTAAGACCTAAAAAGAGAGATTTTGAAGATATTCCATAAGAGAAACTTCAAGAGAATTGGGTAGTGGGCACTCCAAGAAAAGCTCAAAAAACACTTTTTTTTTTTTTTTATGAAGAATTGGCAGAGGAATTCTCTAGAGAGAAAAGAAAATTCAGAGGAAATTAAGGTTTAAGAACCTGAAATTCTGCTTAAATTCAAGGTATGATTATAATCAAAGAGAGAAAAACAGCAACCAAAGCATGAGAAAATTTCAAAAAAAATCCTGTTGAAGAATAAAATAGTAGAAGCAGAGCTTAAAGAAATGATAAGAAATAGCACATACCCAACTCCAAGAAAGCTCAAAATTCAGTTTTTGCTTTGAATTGGCAAGAAAAGAAAGAGTCTCATGGAAAGAGTTACAAAACCCTGAACCCTAAAAAGAGAACACCAACAAAAATATAAAAAAGAAGAAAAAGCCAAAAAAAAAACCTCAACTTAATAAATAGAAACAAGAACACTCTAGTAACCTATATTAAAAAACCCTGTAGAAGCAAAAGAAAACACCAAAATTTCAAGAGAATTGCAAAATCCAAGAACAAGCAAGTTAATGTTTAAAGGTAAAGGAATGAGAAATATCCAAGAAAGGAAAGTTATCCAGTAAGAAAATCAAAGAGAGTTGAGCATATTTATTTGTGTAAACACAGAACAGAACAGAGCAGAGCAGAAGAAGTAGGTCACGAGAGTGAGGGAGATAAAAGGGAAAGACCCGTTAAGAGTTTAGTGTAGACATAGGGGTGAAGAGAAGTGAGTGGTAGTTGCAGTTGCAGAGAAGAGATGAGAACAGAGGAAGAGACAAGGCTAATTTTCTGCAGTTTGGGTTGTGGACCACTGTCATATATTTGCCTTCTTCCTCTTTCTCTTGTGTCTTCTCTTTGCAACTACTAGTAACTAGATCAATTATTTTATCTTACCCATTTACTATATTGCCCCTCTTATTAACAAGATTTTAAAATCAAATACAACAAATTAAAGAATGAAATATATAAATAATATGTATATATATGAAAATTCTCTGATACAAAAGTTATAAAGTTCTTAATGTGTGGAACAAAAAAGAGTGCCCAATCATTTACTTTCGATTATAAGGTTTGTGAAGTGAGCGATTAGACGCTCACCTTTGATCTATGCATTTAAAATTTTAGAATTGTTGTTTCTATTTGTTTTCTTAAATCTTAAAGAGATAAATAAATAATATAAAAAAAAATTCAAAAACATTAACATAATCTTTTTAATGAACAATAAAACATACCTTAACTTTTATATATATACAATCATTCTCCAATATTTATCTTTCTAAGATTTAAGAAAACAAATAGAAATAGCAAAATTGAATAATTTTAGATGGATTGAATAATGGGTACTATTAGTATTAAAGTATAATTGGATATATTTTGAATAAAAATCATAAAACATAACTTATCCATTGATTATGAAAGAAAGTGAAACAAAAACGTAGCAAAATTTTATGTCTATATAATTAACCATATTGATAAAGTGCTGAGATTTGTCATTTTTAGTATACATGCATGAATGTTGCAGTTTCAAAAATGAAATCTTTAAGAATTGAAAAAATATCCTATAATGAGAAAAGAAATTAAATTGAGATCTAAATTTAATTATAAAGCATAAAACATAATTTACATATGTTTAACTGAAGCCTTGCAAATGGCATGATGATATACAAATAACATACAAAGAGAATTTAAATTATAACTTTAATTTATTATTTTAAAACTGTAAAATTATTTAACAATTACCGTTTAAAGGTAAAAATTACAAAATATTATGTTAATACAAAGGCAACGACTCTCTTAACTATTATATACATTTTTATTATATCTTATAAATACTAATATTTAAATGTCAAATTTGTAATTTCAAGTAGGTATAAACGAGGGCATTTTGGTAACACAAAAAAGAGCTGATGGTAATGATGGGTGTCATGGTTGGATAATTCTAAGTATGCTACCCATACCACCTGCAAAAATGAAAGAGATTTTATTAATGGGAAAGGGTTTCTTATCTGATGACATGGCAGAAGGTAATTGGGTGGAATAGATTTTTTAGGGCAGATGTGGCATGTTCTTTATTGGTTGGCGGATTTTCACGAGGAAGAGGAAGGGAGGATTTGGAGGTGGGGTTTTGGATGTGATTAGCTGCAACGGAAATGGTAATGATTTAAACCTTTTTTGGTGTCTTTTGCCCCTTCATTTGTGGCATTTGGCACTCATACGTTGGGCTCATTATGTTCATTGGCTTCTCATTACACTCTCAAAATTTTATCATTTCATCAACCTAAATTTATTCAAAAATATTTGTTAAATCCCACAAAAGATCTTCTTTCTCTATCCATTTTGAATATAATTATGTAAAATAATACAAACTCTTTCCTATGAACTAATTTATTAGAGAATTATGATTATTTATTGAGTTTTTAAACATCTTATTATGCCGGTATTTTAATGATAACGTATAGTTATAGTCTATTTCGTTTTAATATACTTTTTTATCAACCACTAACCATATACTTATATTTTTGTAAGGTAAAAATTATATCAATAGAAGATCTTGATCCTTTATTTATCATAAAGTAAATAGATGAATACATATAAAAAATAGATTAATGAATAGTAATGGTAGGGCGAATTTTATCGTCCTTTGAGATAATACTAAGTTGTAAATGCCCAAAGAAACATATTAACTATTCACTGAATTTACCAAAACTCCTTAAAATTATTACAAAACTCTTTACATATACCATAAACCTTCCTACAAAAATTGGAAACCCTTATACATACATAGGAATTTTGATACTTTTAAAAAATCATCGGAACATATGAGATTTACCCTTAAAAATATCTTCGTTAAAATATTTGATTATATAAATATATATTCTATCGGTTCAAATATTTTATATTATAAATTAGCCTCTCGATGAAATGATTTTATTTATTTTAATATAGGAGAATACAGGGTCTTTAGTGCAAATATTGAAAACATCACTGCCTTTCTTATCTGGAAGTGACGATGTTAGACTTGAAAAAAGAAAATATTTTTATATATAAACTAGAAAAGGGCAAAAAACAAAGAGAGAAAATGTAAGTGTCAGTATTGCGCTTTCTTCGGTTTTGAGAGTTTTAGGACATTTTTCATAATATTTACGGAAATACCAGAAAAAAATCCCCAGATATTTAAAACATATAGATATCAACATCTTTGTTGTCTTCATGATTCTCCCAATTCTTCTTTATTTCTAGTATTAAAGATATTTCCATAATTATGATACATTTAATATTATTTTCTTAAATAATGACAAACGATCCATTGTGAAATAAATAAATACTATATTTAATAAATTGGGTTATAATACTCAAGTGACATAAATATTAAGTGTGAAATGATAAATTTGAAAAAGTTAAAAGAGGTTAAATGTAAGAGTTTGAAATCTAAAACTGGAGATGGACGGATCGAATTGTTTTTGGCCACAGAAAGGTATATCATCTAAATCTAATCATATTGACAACACTGACAACACCTTATCTTTTACAAGAGTTGAGTTGGACATCTCATAGCCTTTAAAACTAGAACTTTCATGATACATGTGTCTCATTCTTTGTTCAACAATTTAGTCTTACTTATCATGATATTACGTCTTAGATCATTCACATCGTACATGATAAATCATCATTAAGTGATTTGATGGTAAAAGTGTAAAATTTTTTTTATAAATTTTTGAGTTTAAGCTCCCCCTCCACGATATTAATAAAGATGGTCACTAAGATTCTTACCTGATTAACAATTTTAAGATCCTAAAACCCGAAAGATCAGTTGAGATGCACGCAAATTATCCAGACACTCCAATGATAAAATAATAATAATAATAATACATGATAAGATCCTCTTAACCTTAGTTATGAAAAAAACAAAAACAAATTCTCTTTAAAAAAAAAAAAATAACTTAAACATTAAACTGATAAAGTTTGATTTAATACCATTTTTTTTTTTTTTTTATATTTTTGAAATAACAAAAATCTCATTGTCATTAATAAACTTTTAGGTAGCGGGTAGAACTTACACTAGTATGAATTAATCGTATTATTAAGCTTCTCATAAGTCTAAGATAGTTAAACTAAAATTATTTTGCCCATGACAACTGGAATCTATCTAATGAGTGTTGGATTCAACAGTAGAAGAGGTAATAGAAATAGAAAATTACATTATACTTTAAGATTTTAGATTATACTATAATGTGATAGAATTCATGAATATGAGGATATTATAGGGTGCGTTTGGTTTATTATTTTGGATATAATTTTAGGAATAATATTGGATAGTTGAGTAGCGTTATGATTTCGAGAATATGATTTGAAGAATATGTGTTTGGTTGAATATTTTGACCTTAATATTTGTGTTGAATATTTGATTGATATATTTTTTTATAAATGATTTATTAATATAATATTTTGGTGAATTTTGTTAAAATAATGTATTATTATATATATAACTTATCAATTTACATTTTAATAATATTAAACATTTTATTGGTAATTTTGTCACCAGTAAATATTAAAAAACAAAAACCTATATTAATTTCAAGTACTAATCCAACTGTTTAAAAACATCACATTAATACATATATGACAAGAGTACTAATTATCAACCCTTACAATCATTCTTACACGTATACTCTATTAACAACTACGACATGGTCCACTGTGCTGCCCACAGTGCATTCGTTATATTATCCCGTACAGTCGTCATGTTGTCTATAATACCTTGTTGCGGTTGACTCGGTCCTTCTCCATTTCGGTCATATTCTGCCCCGTTTTGACGATCACAATATACTTGCTCATTACCCGTACTATTATTGGTTTGTTCGAAGATACGGTCGTCCATATTGTACATTCTGGTAAAATTATGAAGTACACAACATGCCATAACAATCTTCCCTTGTTTGTCCAACGGGTAATTGTTCATTCCATTTAGAATATGGAACCGTCTT